TATTTTTATATATTTTTTTTTTTTTTTTTTTATATATATATATATATATATATATATATATATATATATATATATATATATATATATATATATATATATATATATATATATAATAAACAAATATATATATATAATAAACAAATATTCAAATATTTAACATTAAAATTTGAAAAAAAAACAATGTAACCCACGCAATATTAAGAATATTTTCACAAAAATATCAAATATAGTCTTGAAAATGTTTTTTCAAAATTTCTGCTATTTTGCATTTGCAACAAATAAAAAGTATGAAGATTTGAAAAAAAGATATTTCGATGATTTTTCAGCATGTAGGTAGTTCATGAATTAGTGTAAGTTAGTAGCTAATATATTATTTATAGACTATACGTTAGTATAGGTAGGCAGTTACAACATGTTGGTATAAATACGCAACTTATACGTTGGTATTTTCTGTATTTTATATGTTTGTATTAAGCATTGTTTCAGTTTAGGAGTCATTCAGTTGTTAGAAAACAGTAGAGGTACTAGACAGGATTTTTGCAGTTTTTACTTAGGTTTTGAATTTATTTCTTAATTATTTCTTCGTTTTGTGAGATTTAGTGTGCGCGTGTGTGCGTGTGTGTGTTTATTGTGTGTTTGTGTGTGTAAAATGTTGAGTAAATATGCCATCAACTGCAAATCGCTTTATGAAGCAGTGAGAATGTTTTGCAGGATCACTGAATGTTTTGTATGCAGACAACGAGTGTTAGTCGTATTATAGATGAATTGCAATATAAACAATGTTTAACGTCAAGTTATGAAACAAGTTAACACGTCAAAAAGCTTTATGACAATTTGCAACAACAAGCATACTAACGCGTGCACACGAGTGCTATAGAAACAACATCTTCGAATGTTTAGTTTAAACGTTGAAATTAATAACGTTATAAAAATCTTTTTTAAACGAACTCGTTTAGACTCTTATGAATAACTCTTATTTAACTATTAATACATTAATTATTTAATTAGATGATCAATTATTAAATTAATTAATTAATTAGGCAATAATAGAGTGAAAATATATGCTACAAAAGATGACAATGAAGAAGACACCATGGATTCAGTTGGGAGTGATGTTTAAATTTTCTTAATTGCATCGTCATTTCATCACGTGGAAACTTCTTATCATATGCTTCAGTTGGAAAAAAAAGTTCCATATATTCATCTAAAAATATTCTTCAAATATTTTTGAAATACATAATCAAAGAATTGTATAAAAATTCACAATCTTTTTCAACAATCACGTAGCATATTTTTTGCAATTTAAATAACTAAAACTATCAAAAAAAGATATATAAATTAAAAAAAATAAAAATGAACAATGTAGTTATAAAAAAAATTCACAAATGATTGAAAAAAAACAAAATAATATTAAAAATGAATTAGTTGATGAAAGGCTTTAGCATCAACAACGACCACCACGCGACTGATAAATTGGTAACAAAAGAAAAATTGAAATTTTAAAATTGAAGTAAAAATAACTTCAAAGCAACACTATATCCACAATAAACACGAACAAACAAAAATCACAACAACAACACCGATGACAACAACAACAACATGATTATCGATAAATTTTTTGATGACTTTTAAATGCACGCTTCAATCGTTTCGAAAGCAAGCACCATGTCCTAAGATAGCATGCCATCCTACACAAAAACATTTTTAGCTACTTTACATCGTCCAGAAATTCAAAATAATAATTAACTTTAGCAATTGACCCAAAAAGCATTCATTGATTTTATTTAACTGACTAAACTGAATAACTCATTGACTTTATCAGACCCTTCAAAAACATTCAATGGTTTCAGGAGATCAGGCAAAAACTATGACAGACTTCTACAGACCACACAAAACTGGTAGTTGACTTCAGCAGACCACACAGAAACAATCGTTGACTTCTTCGACTGGAGGCAGCATGGGCAGTTGGTCAGTCGATGGTTCAGTGTAATCGCCATCCATGTACACTCTGAAATAATGATATATATATATATATATATATATATATATATATATATATATACATATATATATATATATATATATATGTATGTATATTCATTCATTACTTTCAAAACATTACGTAAAACATTATCGTAGTCATCGTATATTTATTAATTTATTAGCGTGAAAATGCTTTTTGAGCTGTTCAAATTTCAACAGCCAGCCGGCCAGCTACCAAACAAACAACCGCCACTCATCTGCCGTAGTGATGAGCAGCAGACCTGATCAGTTGGACCATGCGGATGTTGGCCTCGATGTTCTGGTGGGGGCACAGTGATGTAGTCTCCCCACAATCTTGCTGGTTCCATGCCAGTTTCAAAGGGTGGTGTACCGTTTCTATGGTCACCACTTTCCTATCTATCATTCAATTAATTAATTTTTAATTATTTTTTTAAAAGTTTTTATTAAAAATACAACAATCAAAAAAATTAAATTTTTAAAATATGTAAACGAAATAGAAAATTTTTGAATTTTTGTAAAAAAAAAATGGAAACACTGGAGAGCCATCAAAGTAATTCTGAGAACATCCTTCCAAATACTGACCAACGCACTGCAGCCAGGCACGTGATCTCATCCAGACAGAAGAAAACTTCTCATACTGCGGGGCTCCAGTGCACATGCCGATCTTCACTGCACTCGGCATGAATGTCTTGTACGATAAACCTGAAGCGTTTTTTTTATTTTGTTGCCATCTTGAAATGTTTCGAATAAATTGGAATTACGTTACTGATACAGACTGTTTTATTCAGCAGAGCAAGTAGTGGCAACATATTTGTGCAACGATGAAAACAATAGGATCTCAGAAATCATTAACTACATCACATTTTAGTAATAAATATTTAGATGGATTACAATGACAACGAAGCATGCATCCAACAAACCAACCAACCAGAAGGGGTTTTATAGAAGACCCGGGTTTTCCTGAGGGACTGCCGCTTGGTCTCGCCATTACTTTCCTGCTGAAGAACGATATTTGGCGGTGTCGACTCGAGAGATGGCACGAGCGTGAAGTTGGATTGAAGGGTCGTCGTCGAACCACTGAGTGGCGTCTGCGAGAGCGTCGTGTAGCTGATGCGAAGAAATCTCACTTTGCAGCGTCGGTGGGCGTTGTGCAGGAAGTTGCGGCCAGTTCTCACGTTTTCTGATTGGTCAAGATTTGTTTTCTTGTTATATACTTTTGTATTAATAAATTAAAATTTAAATTTTTTTAAAGGCTTAGTAACATTATTAAATTAGCTGACACAAGCACACATATCTATGATTGTGATGTGATCAGACACACGCCACTTATAAATTACACGAACGTGCCTAATTTTTAGAACACCTGGTGATTGTTTCAGAATTGTTTCCAATGTTTGGATGTTGACAATCCTAATATTCCTGGCTTCCTTCATCCAATCGGATGCCTTCATCATAGCGTCGTTCAGGTGTTTGTACCTGGCGGTCACATTTTTAAACATTGCAGAAAGTGGAGTCTTAATATCTATCACACACACACACACACAAAACATGTAGTTTTATTTTTGTTGGGTTGATTAAAATTGACATGATTTCTGAATTATTTCTGAATTTCTGATTTGAATTGATTTATTTTAAACAAACGCCAACATACGAATTGATGAAAATTTGAGATGTAATACAATTGAGAATTATTTTTTTGGTAAAATATAGATTATCTTAACAATAAAATAAGTAGATACTCATTTTCAACGTATATTAATGAAAGGCTTCTGTAACTGAAATGATTGGATATCTGCCTAATAAGATGAATTCTCGGTCAACGAACTCCGTACGTACTTTACCGCGAATTTTGACCTCTTGCCTTTTCTAATCAAATCTCAAAATAGCTTAAGTAGTTCCCAAAAAATAAGAAAAAAAAATTAATTAAAGATCGAACAAAAACTAGGTCAGTTATATTCAATCTAACCAATGATTGATTAATATATACACACACGCACACTCAGAGACACAAACACACATACATAGACGCCTATAATTTGTGTTTTGTGTTTATAACTGTTTTAAAATGATTTAATTTCATGTAAAAAAATACGTATGAAGACCACTATTACATAAACAAATTTTCGCCAGACCAGAGATTGGCAGCTTCAAAGTTCAATTTCACGCTTATCATGATCGTAATCATCTTTGTCGCCATCGTCATCAGACCATCATTCTCATTATCACAATACATAAGGTGGTCATCATATGCTGATGATACTGGTACCTCAAATTCAAGCTCTGATAATACAAGCAGCATGCATTTAATGATGATGACGACAACCACGATTGTAGTGACCGATGATGATGATGAATGATGATGAGGATGATGATGAGGAGAAGGGGAGGATGATGATGAGGATGGTGATGACGTGCTGATACTTTTATAGCCAACGATGATGATGATGATTATGTCGCTGATGAGATTGTGGATGATGGTGATGCTCGTATTAACGATTAATAAAAATAACAAGAGAATAAAATTAAAAATGATTTAATTATTTTTGTTATTGTTGTTGTTGTTGTAATTATTGTAGTTGTTGTTATTGTTGTCATTGTTTTTGTTATTGTTATTGTTATTGATGTTGTTGGGAAATAGAATAATGAAGGATGATGTTACTTTGGGTGGGGCGCACACACACAGTTGCAGTAGGAGGTGTTGACGTAATCGGGTAGGAAGTCCTGGGCACCTGTCAATCAATCGACATTGTTGTCATTATTTTTAGTATTTTTGTCGTTATTGTTTTTGGTTTTCGTTGTTCATGTTTTGTATGTTGTTGTTTTGTATATCTTTGTTGTTGTTATGAATGAATGTTAGCATTGTTGCCGCTATTGTTGTCCGTGTAGTTTTTCATCATCAACATTATCAACTGCATTATATTTACTAGTGCGTTTCATTCAAACTTCGCATTTATATAGCGCACTGTGCGTTACGTTAAAGGCGCTTAGAATCATTTTTCACAGGCCAAAGCGTGTACAAACGCATACAAAAATGCACATTACAAACGTGTGTGTGAAAAAACGTGGATCATATAGCTTTCGAACCAGGTCGCAGTAACGTGAGACGAGAACATTACAACTGAGCCATATAAACATTATATTAGACACGATTATTATTACCCCTTACCACTACTACCATACCAACCAATCAGTTCAACGTGTGATGCTCCATACACAAAATAGATCCTGGTAATGTAGATCACGTGATGATTTTTGATTGGCTCGACGGGTTGAGAAGTCACGTCGGGGTCAACTTCCGGTGCCGTCCAGGTGCGTGCCGGAAGTCTTAGTGGGAGCGATTCGATGGTCAGTATTCGACCTTGTTTTGTTTCGGTTGTTGTTTAATTAAACACTTATTTTAATTTTTGATATTATTGCTATCACTCACATAGTTTGCAATTTGGTTGTTA